ACACCCTCTTTCTTAAGATTTTACTCTTACCTAGAAAAGTAACCACAAAAATATTCTATAAAAGTAACCTCTATGAAATTCTTCATCACGTGTGGCACACCAAATGCCAGCGGAAATAGCTAGAAAGCTGTAACTCACGTGGAGATAATGATCCTGCATTTTGAATGCAGACACTTGCCAATCACCTACCCACAGAGCAAAAGACACGTCCTGTTCCTTACACACCTCACAGTAACACTAAGAGCTTTACTATCTCCATCTCTTGCTCACTGAGACAATAGAAGCCTGAGAAGATAATGATGCTACAGATGACACACAAACACTGTATTAATACCTTACATTGCACAAAATAAAGCAGCCGCTCAAATTAGTTCAGACCAACAAACTAGGTTTTAAACATCTTTTCTTTACTTTGCCTTTATGAATAATGTGGAATGCCCCAGTCATTGAAAACAAACGAGATGCCTGTGACACCCCCCAAGCAATAAACTAAGGGAAGCACATAACTGGGCAATGGAAGGCAAATACAATGATTACTATTTCCTCTATGCTTTGAAAGCTTGAGTGAAAATTACAAACTGAAAATGTTGTAACCATCAAAAGCAGAAATAAGAACAGTAGGAAAATAGAAGATCTTTTCTTTTTACCTGAGTAAGAAGTATTTCTGTCTTTCCACTGAACATTTTTGCATTTTATTTGATTTTGTCTCTCTTTCCGCAGACGTTCTAGTCTCTGAGCTTGAAAAGAAATATTATAACTATAAGTTTGTCAATGAAAGTTTACTATAAACAAAGACATAATTAACTACCTTTATATGAATAAAGATGTTTTATACTGCATATGTAGGGGAAAAAGTCATAAAATTTTAAAGGTGGCACCCCTGAAAAGCAAATACCAACAAAAACATGAGAATGTTCTTGATTTATAATTGAAATTAGAGGATATAAAACATTAATAGAGATCATAAAGATAGTATTAACATGGAAGGGAATAATAAAATGTGAAAACTTCTGTGATTAATATGACATTTCATTATATAAATCATTAATAACGGTCTTAAAGGAATTTTAATGCACAAATGAACTGAAGTGAATATTACATTACAGGAATAAAATTACTGTTATGAATTACTCTACCCGTTTCAAAAATTAAAGATAAATGAACTCAGACTAGACTATTAAAGTTTTAAATATAAAATCCTTTATCTAAAAATCATGAAAATTATAAAATGTCAAAGCTATATAAATTAGCATGGCTTTTTCTTCAGTGTGCTGAAACAGTTTATAGGTAGTAAAATAAATGATTTGTATCTTCACAACATTAGTCAAATCCTAAAATGAATATAATATTTCTTTACATATATTTTGACTCCATCTTCAAAATACAGTTTGAAGAAAGACTCAAATATCGAACAACTTACAGGCCAGGGTACCAGATTAATACCTTAAATTATCTCTTTGTTAATAGTAAGATCTCTCTCAGGAAACGGTCAGCTAAACCTGGTAGAAGCTGTCCAAGACAATGACCGCAAGAAATAACTGATGTTATGAAGTGTCCACTCAAAATAAGAAAGCAGATTAGACTGGAAAGTAGCACTAATAATGTTGATCACTGAAGGAAACAATTTGCTGGCTATATTAGCAATTTTGATATATTGAGATAATTCATTAACTAAAATGGGTTTGTAGAAGAGATTCTAAAATGCTAAATTACTCTGACAATTTTTAGATACAAATTCAGTTCCCTGAGCCATTTCACCAATTAAAAAAAGGTTAATAAATATTTTTTATCCTTCCTATTACTATTCTTTTATATTTAGTCTTTGAACTGAATTGTAGACACAGAAATGAATTTTTTTACCTCCATAAAAAACTCTCAACCTGCGAACTGATTAAAAAAAATAATACTTTGAGGTATAACAGCCGTAACAAGCAGTTTAAGGTACAAACACAAACCAGGACCTTTGATGCCTATTTCCCATTTAAGTCAACATGAGTTTAGTGCCTAAATACCTCTATGTATCTTACTCTTAGTGAAATAAGAGAAGATGTGTCCCTGCTTATAAGTTTAAATATTGGGTAAAACACTAGTGTAATATAGATATTTTATTCTGAAAGAAAAAACTTTTTTTTCCCCCAATTACTGTCCAAACTGTAGCTCAAAATTACCTTCCAAAACCCTCTCTTCCCAAATGGGCCATAAAATGTCTGTTAGATTCATATGTAAACAACGGATAAAGGAAAAAAAAAACCCATAGAATAAAAGAATAATGTATGTTTATATCCTATTTGATGTTTTCACCCCGTCAAAACAAACGTACTAAAGTGCAGTCACCATCTTCACTAACTCCATCCTATTCTTCTATCTACAGTTGATCACAAATTATGATTTACTGTGGGATTGTATTATAGCAACTCCAAATTAGATGGAATTATCAGTACCTATTAGAAGCCTGAATTATTTAAGGTTCATTCCCACAAGAAGCATGTAAGTTTGAAAGCTTTCTGTGTGAAAAATGTCACTGACCAAGTGTAGTTCTTGTTTCATTAACTGTTAGATGAGCCTTTGTTTCTAGTCATGTGGATCGGGAGAATTTGCTGCTTTCCCATATACCCAACACCCTGCACAGACCTGTCTCCACTTTAGTTTTTCTAACCCCTCTGGGAATGGCAGAAAGGAGGCAGTGAGGAGATGGGAGTCCGGAGCCAAAGACCACCTAAGCCCCATCTAGCGCCTGTGGAAGAGGACGAAGAACGCAGTGGCAGGCAACCCGCGTCCACCCCAAACGTGACGGGCAATACTCTAACATCTCTCACCCACTGCACATCCCTTTCAAGACTAAGGGGATAACTGATATTAGAATGCACATAAAATGAACTTCAAAATTTGCACACCATGTAAGAACTACGTAATAACCTAACTAACTTCTGTAGTCTCTACAGAGATGTGTTGAGTCTTCTACAGTAACATATTATTTCTACAATTTATGAAAAAAATACTATCCTGCTAAGATACTTTATTATAAAACAGCTTTGCAAAAGATAATAAAAAGTTATATCCCATCAAAAAACAATGGTTAAAGACAGCATAAGCAGAAATAATTTTATTTACCAGGGTATAAAACCAAGGAGAATAAAGAAGAGCTTGCATGTTAAAAAAGTTGACCACTATTACCTGTTGATACACAAAATTGCACTGTCTTCTCTTTCCAAACCTAAAAACCATTATCTGCTTTTCAAAGAGCAAATGTTCCTGCTCCTGCTAAATCTACTCAGGTATTTATGGATTAAATAAAAAAGAAATGTCCTTACATTTGCCCATTTTAGGAACAAAAATTGCAGATTTCACAGTTAATGAGTTTTTGTACTTATGAGATGTATGAACACTTTGTTCTATGTAGGTATGTATCTGTTTTCTTCCATCAGGAACTTATATAAGTATTTGTGTAATGCAAAAAGCATTTCTGTTAGCAATAGTTAACTTTAATTTATTCCTCTTCCTGTATTTTTGAAAGGGTTCAGTACTGATCAACTTGCATTCTTTGTAGACTTGTTTCCTGCCCTCTCTGTTGCAAATCACAGCCTGATTGCCTTGATAATTGTATTAAGTCCCTGGTGGTACCAGCACACACAATGGAACATAAAAGACATGCCAGATGAAAAGAGGCAAAAAACTGGCTCCCCAGTGGACTGTGTGTCCTAACCATTATTTTAGAATATACCATCAATTGAAAACTGAAATGGTTTCAATCCATAATTTAAATGGAGAATATTCTATCAGTCTACTCTGTGAAATAACCCTTCAGAATTATTTTTGAAGCAATTATATAAAACTTCCAACTTTGCCTCTCCTTCCTCATAAACTATACCACCAACTGAACTAAACAAGAGCTCAAGGGCAGTGTTAGGCAGTCTGGCACACTAAACTCTTCACAATGCCTTAAAGTCAGTTGCAGCTATATATTCAGCCTATTTCCAAAGCTAACCCTCCATCACAAGAGATCAGTGCCCTGACTTTTCTGCAACCTTTAAGAACTTCCTATTTGTAAAAGGTTTTTCAAAATATTCAATACCACACAACATTTTACTTGTTAGGTAGAGCACAGATTTTTTTTCTGAGCTCTAGGTGGTGTTATAATACCTTCAGAAATCATTTTATAAAAATATATACTGTAACACAGAGGGAAAAAAAAAAAAAAGAGATCAATATTCACCACCCCACACCAACCTTTTCATACATATTTTATATCACAGCATTCCTCAGGTATAAGTAGAAGTCTGAATATCCCCCATATGAAACAACAAATGGGACAGCCTTCTTCCAGTCAAGACAAACCGAGCACATTTTGAAAAAGTGTACACCTTTGAACTTCCTAATTTGGTAACTTAAATCGTAGCTCAAGGTTCTTCTCAGAAATAAAACTTCAAAATACAGACAAGTCATTCACTTCATTGGCTCACATCAAACTTCATTCCTCTTTTTCATAACAAATAGATTTGATGCCTCACTAGGTAGATGTTTCTCAGAAAATAACTATCCTGTTTAAAAGTTAATACCCCTCCAGACATTAACAATAGAAATATCAAAGACTCTTCATGTACTTTGGATTTAGACTTGATGTCTTTACAATTTAAAATTTTGTAATTTATAAAATTGACTACCTCAATGTTCCTCTGTACATGAATAAGTAAAACTGCAATTAAAACTCAGTTGACAGCACACCAAACTAACTGAATCATGACATGTCCTTTTATAAAAAAGGTCTTGACATTACAAAAGGAAAAGCTTGACAGATATCTAGCTAGTCACGCTCTGATTTGCCCATGCAAGCCAGACTAATGGAAATCAGATTTAAAAGGCTAATGTTATCTTGGCTGCAAATATCACTTACCTGTGTTTGATCGTCTTCTGATTCCAAAGTCCCAGCTTGAGGTAATATCAACTGATTGGGAATATATATAGCCCTGAGTCTCACCATTGCTTCCCTGTGTTTCTGAACCACTGTCCCCATATGCTGACGACGGATTAAACTTCTCCAGGTCGACATCATGATCTATCAGGACCATTTCACACATCCCTGTGTCATCACTGGTCACATGCGACTGCCGAATATGAGCAAGTATAATTGTTGGGTTGTCCAGGAAAGCCATTCTGTCCACAAGTCCACCACTTCACTGTACTATCTTCTCTCCATCTTGTTCCACGGACATATGTACCTAGAAATATAATGTACACAGCATTTTAGAAAAAAAGAACACAACCAAAACCCTGATTCAAGAAAGTTTATATTTTGAATGCAAAAACCTAACTGACTCAGTTTTGTACAGTGAACTATTTTAATTCTGCTCCAGTTTACTGAAGTTACACTGCTTGCTGAGGTCCACTTAAAGAACAGTGGTTTTGGAGGACAGCTTGAAACCTGAATCCCAAGACAACAGAACAAAACAGACACCTCCAGACAGGTCCCATTACTCTACAACAAATGACTGCTATAAGGCAAAATATTCTAAGTATTACACATAGAAGGATGGAGAGAAAATACAGAATAGAAACATCTGTCTATTCAAATTAATAAATTTACAAAACCAGATAGGATTTTGAATTTCTCTTCACCCGTCATAACAGTGTGTTACTGTCTGTCTTCTGCCTCTACATACCAACTCTTTGATTACTTTATTATAGACTCTCTTTGGGTTTCATATTTCCAGGAAAAACTTTAAACACAAAGAGATTAGCATCTCAGGGCAGAATACTGAACATCTGCTGCTACATGGTGCTTCACATAGGGCAACTGTTGTAATACAGAAAAAGCTCTATCATAATATACCAGACACCTGAATTCTTAAGCACTTTAACAACAGCAATTGCCACTTACCTAAAATATTTCATTCAGAGTACTCAAGCCACCTTACAAAACAAAGTAGACAGGAAGAAAAAAAAAAAAAAAAAAAAGGAAAAAAAGCCCCAAACAAACCACAAAACCCAAACCACACTCAAACTGTTATCCTATTTTACTGTAGCTGTAGATTTATATTTACGTTAATCTAATTCAAGTCTGGGTTGACTCTGAGAGGGGGAACTCCATGCTCCTGTCTGGCCCTGGTCAGGTGTTTCTGCCAAAGGCTGGCATTAGCACTGGTATAGCTGTGAGGCGAGTTGGATCCAAAAAATGACCTGCTAAAAATAACCTGAGGGGAAAAAAAAAAAAATCCTAATTTTCAGGCTGATCAGTCCGCCAGCGAACAGCTGCCAGAGCACCAGTACCAACACAACACAGGCAGCATCAGGAATATCAAAAGCCGGAGGAGAGCAGAGGTTCCCCTTTCAGCAGTGGTGCTCACAGCTGGCTCAAAGCGACTGCGAATCCCCAGCCCAAGGAAGAGGGAGGTTGGCGGGGTTTCTAAATCTAAGCTCACCGAGACACGCAAGAGTAGATGTAAACTCCAGAAGTTCAAAATCTGCATTGCTTTTCTAATCATTTGCATATTTGAGGGAAAAAAACCCCACCACAGATAACATTTTAATATCACCTATAGACCTAAATACACTTATTTAGTATTTTGAACATAGAAACAACAACAACAGCCCATCGTTGCTGTTTGCAAAACTTCTGTCAGCAAGAAGAAAATACCAAAGGAGAAGAAACTATTTTAATTTACGCAAAGCCGTACCCCATGAAAACCTGGTAAAGGCAGCTGGCCTTTTCCTGGCAGATTTTAACAGAAGAAAGTGGAAGAAAGCATCAGACAGGCTTGTTCCAGGACCAGCAAACACATTTCATCATTTCCCCTGTATGTTTCCAAGGGGAAAGGGGGGTTAACATACAGAGCCCCACGAAGCAGTTTCTGAATTTAAATAGTTGAAAGCAAAAGTAATACTTTATTTGGTCCCTCATCCAATCGTGACAAAAGCAAAATTTTGAAGGTGTATTGTGAACTGCAAATCCACCATCCCTACCAGTGGTATCCTCCCTACCACCAAACATCAGCATCCGCTAATTAGAACATTCAATAGAGATTTACATCCTTGATAATTTTAGGCTTTTTCTGCTCGCTTGGCCACAAATACTGCCTTTTGTTTTTTCTGAGAGACTGTGTCCTTTCTACTTTACAAAAACACAGACAGATTCAAAAGTAGTATATTAAACAACAGACCCAGCAGCAAGAAGGAATTCAATAAAAGAATCATAGAGAAATAAAACTGACATGCTGCTTGTTATTAATACACTACTCCTACCATACATTTTAATAAATTATGCTATTAGCTAAATATGCTCCATCAGTATCCTTGGAGATACTCAAAACCCAACTGGGTAAGGCCCTGAGCAACCTGCTTTCGCCGGCCCTGCGTGGTGCTGGGAGGTTGGACTAGATCTCCAGAGGTCCCTGCCAAGCTCAGCGACGCCGAGTTCTATTTTTTATTTTGTGACTATTTCCGTTACAGAAAGTAGGCCTGCTCTCCCTGAAGGATTTCTCATTGTCCTCAAAGTGAGAGGCCATAAGGCAAATATCCTACCATAAGGCAACTGTCTCCTGGCTGTAATTTACGTGTTAAAGGCCTTTAAACCGTAACAGCGTGACTGGTATCGTGAGACTTAGAGAATACAGACACAACTAAGTATACACTGAATGGGTATTTTAAAAAGTGCACTGAGAATGTTTTTTAAACTTAATTATTTACACACCACTTATTAGAAAAGGCCATGCTTACCTGCAAGCAGTAAGAACTTGTTTAAATAAGCAACCGCCTTGGGCTTCTAAAAGGTCTGCAAACTCCCAATCAAAAATTACTGCTGCCCCATCAATGTGTCATATAAATGTTGGCATGTTAATTGTGTATTTATAAGATTGTTAATGGTTAGTTAATTTACCTCCCACACTATTATTGTACTTGAAATGATTTAATGTCTGCTAAGGGAGTTAACAACATGTAACAGCAGATGCGAGAATTCTACCTTTATGCTCTGCACCCCGACTTCATGCTATTAACAGTCCGTGTGCTAAATTAGCCAAGCTTCTCTACAATTTTACATATGCAATTACTTTTCCCGTAAACATGAACGGTGAAAAATTGCAAGAAATTCTATTTCAAACTCTGAAGTTTAATAGAAACACATTTTTTCTTCTTCCTCTTCAGAATTTTCAAAAGGACACATTAAAACTAATTTCTCAATAAGTTAATGTTACCTGGAAATTCTACGAACAGTTAGCATCCCTCAGGAAAAACAATAAATAAGAAAATCAGAAAACAAGTTCAGACCCCAAAATTCAGTTCAGATTTTTATGCCATATTTTAGTAGTTATCTACACAATTCTACCTGGTTCCTCCTTTTGACAAAGGCAAAACACAATTAGATGGCACAGCCCTGGCCTGAGGAACAATGACATCCAATGAAGTAAAAGAATTCAGAGAAGCAAAGTTTAATTTTGCAAACCTTTATACAAATACCTTGAAGCCTCCATGTCATCAGTTCCAGCAAAATTACAGACACAAGATCAATTTCCAGATCTACTGAGATTTACCAGCATATTGCCTCTTCTGTGTTCCTTATACCCACACACAATTATCACATCCCCATGTGGCAGCTGAATTTAACAGAATTCAGGGACTTTCTGAGTACCAGCAACTTATACATTCTTCAATCATAAACAAAAAATAAATGCTCTTTTAATACTTGCACCATATAAATATCATTCTACTATTAAATAAAATACTTTGCAGACAGCTGTCAAGCATACTCTATGCTAACACTAAAAATGAAGAGCAATGTGAAACCTATGCAACCTTAACAGTATTTATGTATGACATGATATACAGGTTAGCGTTACAATGATATACTACTTATCGGCAAACACCTTCCATGATTCATCACATAGGTGGACAGAGTTGAATCAGCCCTCCGCTTTCTTCTTAATCTTTATTATTCATCTGTCTTACCTTCTACGTATTATCTAATCAACACCCTGGATATGAATGCCCTCTCTCACCTTCTCCTTGGTCTCATCACTGTATTACTGAAGTGCCCCAAAGACCATGGGGAGCGCAGCTCCCTATTCGTCTTGTGCAGTTAGAGAATATCCTCAAAGATGTAAAATTGCACCATCGAGAGGCTGAACGCCTTGCCAGCTTTCGCAGGAACTTTGTAGCAAGATCAGACAGCTGGATCTCAGTCTACTATTTTTATCAGAAGTATTCCTCTTCCAGTAACCCACTGCTATATTTATGGCATCTATAGACTTTCACAGCAAGTGAAGCAAGGCTGTTAGGCGGATCAACCTCATTCATAATACAGCATACAATAAGTAACGAAGAACGTTTTAACAAATGATTCAGCTCCCAGTTGGTGACACAAAGGTCTTGAAAAGAGGATATGTAGCTATACAGGATATACCTTAAACACACAGGTGAACACATCTGAATTTGGAGAGGCAGCTTCATCATCACAACATACTAAGCGTTCTTGTGACGCTCCCGCTTGCCTGATATACTGTATTTATTTAAATAAAATGAAGGTTGTCTCACTTTCCTCTTTCCCCACCAAGAACACCATACATATCCCAAAACCCAGTCTAATTTATATTCGCATGTTATCCTACCTTAAGTGTCAACGAACTATCAAAGCGAGTGTGAGATCGGGGGAAAGGACAAGCTAAACACACACCTCTTAGGATTGCCATCCTTCCCACCCATCCTATCAACCCACCTCGTATCAGAGCAGACAACAGCCGACACAGCGGGAAGCGCTGTCTTGCTGCTCCAGTGCTGGACCAACATGGACTTGTGGGATTGCAGCCATGTGTCAACCTGCTCTTACCGCTCTTTTCAGAGGAAAATATTTGACCTTGAGCATGAAATAAATGCAGACCGCAGGTTACCTTAGTTTTGGAAATACACAGTGGTTTTGGATTGAATTTTCTGGTTTGTTTTAAATATACACAGTTGAATTTGACAAAATCCCTCCCTATTACCGCCCAGCGAAAGGTGGCTCGTCACTACCCTACACAGCGGCAGCGACAGCCAAGGCCGGCCGCGTTTCACTTTCACGGCCGCCAGCAGTGGGGCAGGACCGCCGGGTCTGCCTCCCACGGCACCCCGGCCCTCCGCTCTGCTCCCCGCTCTCACCCGCAGGCTCCTTAAACATTTTCTGGTG